ATTCGGTTTTATCACTTTTTCTCATATCTCTAATTCAGTAGGGAAATATGAGAAAAGTAATAAAATCGAATAATTTATTTCTACAGAATAATATTCTAATATCTATTAGAATCCGCTAAACAACACAGCATAAAGTATTAATTTTTTTGCGCCCAAATCATATGGTTTAACACTTTAGGGGTTCTTCAAAGACGATCTGCAGTCGCGATAATTTTATCTTTTGTTCCTTTATGTGAAAGAATCTGCAACTTGTACCTATTTTAGCATTTCATTAAGAGAATCGTTCCTTATCCTTAAAACTGGAAATCTTTCTTTGATTTTCGACACAGAGTCACGAACCCACAAGCTTCGGTTTTGCACAATTCATGCCGACTTTACTTATTACTTGAAAATTAAATAATCCATTATTTTCAACATATTAGTAATGTGTAAAAAAAAAAAAATTTTTACTCCCTAGCAAGCAACTTCAACATTGTAGAATTATCAGATAATATATCTTGGAAAGAGGGTATTATATAGAACCCACTGTGCTTAAAATTTTGGGATATAATATATTTTATTGAGACATAAGACAATTGGAGTTGCTGCAATATTTATGATCTGCCTTTGAATTTTTCCATTTCGAGGCAATTCGTTTTTTATTAAAAATAAATAAAAGTAAAAAAGAAATCGTAAAATTTTAAAGTGGCTTCATCATTGTTTTAAGTGTTTTTTGTTCTTTCGTAAATTTGTCGAGTGAAAACAACATTTCAGTCAGTTATAAAGAAACAAGTAAAAAATATGTCTTGAGGTAAAGAAAATCTTTCAAAATATTTTCATTATCGGAATTGAATATTGGGTCCACTTCCATTTTTCTAGTGAAATCGGATGAAAAAACCGGACCGATTGAGACGGCAACATCTAGATGTCTGCACACCGAGGTCGATTTTTCGATTCTGACTTATCAAACCAAAGTTGACTAAAACCAATTCCACTTTAAGACTTTTTGATGTGTGTATGACTTATTGGTGGACATTATTAAAAAAATTGTATGAAATCAAAACTTAAAGCAATTAGGTCCACGATTTCATATAGCTCCCAATATTCGGATTAAAGCCACATTTTCCAAAGAAATTGTTTTTGATTCGGTATTAGGGGTTCATAATTGGTTCTACATCCCTTGTCAAACAACTAAAGTCTAAGACTATTTTGCCCTGTCTGTGGGCCATATTGACCCATGATATCGTATGGCCCCCATGTAACGCTACCCCCCATATTTGATGAATTGTCTCAAAATCCACACAAGGAGTTCTTACTGAGTATTTTACCTCCTGGAAGAGAATTGTCTATATAGGTTCACGATATCCTCTATGCAACGTACATACGGTTCGGTAAATTTGATGATTGTAGCCACATTTTTCAATGGCATTTCCTGAAATTCTATACAAGGAGTTCTCTGTGATTACTTTATCCTTGAAAGAGAACTTTCTATATAGATCCATGATATCATATAGACCCCATACAATGGAACCCCCTATTTTCTATGGAATAGTCTGAAAATCCATACAAGGAGTTCCCTCTGAGTAATTTTACCACCTGGAAGAGAATTGTCAATATAGGTCTACGTTTTAGCATATCACCCATACAATGCTACCTCGAGATATTCGGTATTTCCAATTTCATTTTTCACCGGAGTTGCGCCATATTTCGTATTTGAAGTTCGTAATGGGTACTACAATCTCCAACGGAAAATTGTCTATGCAGGTCCACGTCTTAGTATAACCCCCATACAACGGTACCTTCCTTTGTTCGGTATTTTGATGATATTAGCTATATTATTCACCGGAATTTTTTCCAATTTCGTATTTGAAGTTCGGAATTGTTACTACAGCCTTTGACAAAAAAAGTACTTATCCAGCACCACGAATAGCGCCCATATAAAGATTTTCATTTGAGCAGTATTTTTCTACGTTTTTTTTTTGAAAATTTTCAAGTTTTTCCGAATGGTGGAGGATATGAAAAGTTCGGCCCGGCCGAACTTAGTTTCATTTTTACTTGTTTAGTAATCGTTTGATGAGTAATAGGTATTTGATATGTGTCATTTGATATGTTCTACCGTATTGATATGATAAATTTGTTTCAATTAAAATATGATGTAATAAATTGCATATGGAAGAACTGATAGTTAAGACTTTCACCGATGAAACTGTAATAAAGAATATCTACTTTGAGTCAGCGCATCATTATTTCTTTGCCTTATGTGCCTATATGGGCAGGTATTAGCAATCCTGGCACAATTACAGAAGGTAGAACAAAGCTACCCCCTAAATACAATTTTTTGAATATGGAAAAAATCTATCCAATTTAGGCTGATATTACATGCATGGTGAACAATAGCCATAAAATCGAATGAAGATTTATATCGAAGCTACAGAAAAATCTGAACTGATCTCGATAAAATTTGTCAGAGGTATTTTCAAGCTGTATCTTATATAGGGTATGAAATATCATTGATCTGGAGTGCATATTAAGCATGTGAGGGACTTTACACTAAATCGGATGGATCATATATATATAGAAGCTATAGCTGTATCTATATATATATATATACCAGCTAGTACATATATATATATATATATATATATATATATATATATATATATATATATATATATATATATATATATATATATATATATATATATATATATATATATATATATATACTAGCTGGCCCGGTCCGCGTTGCTGGCCCGTACTTTTAGTCTTTAATGCGTATTTTTTAAAGCATAATAAATCACACATCTGATTTATGTAAGCGGCACAAGTTTGATTTTTTGTCATTTAAATTGTTCGGTGGAGCTCCAATAAAGTCCACATTTTTCATCATAGTATAATTCAATGATGATTAAACAAATATTCGGTCCCGTGTTACTTTCTAATTTCGTATCTTTTCCTGTTTCTGCCACAATTTCCGACTGAATGAGTCCCAGATTGACATTTCGGAGTTTATTTCATGTAGACGTACATCCCAAATCTACGTTACCAAACAATATTCTCTTGGGGGTTACAAAATAATCACACATTGGTTGGGAAAGTGGACTTGGGGGTATACTAATGTGAGGACTGTACTTAAATAAATGCCTATGTGGATAATTATCTTTAAGATGGTTTTTTATCCCAGGTAGCCTCAAGACTAAGATAGGCCCTTTTTCGAAAAATAAAAATTTTATGAGAAAAGGTTTTCTTCCCCATTAGAAACAAATATGTCTAATAAGGGCCAAAAAATAGAAAAAGTGGCCAAGACCCCGAAAATAGCTTAAATATGATGGTGATACCAAAACGTGATCATTTTTTGCAAGTATGGTTTCTTCTTAAATTATCAACATAAGCCTAAATTAGTACGAAAAATATGGTTAAAATGTAAAATATACTGGAAATCGGGTTGTTCCGTTATCGGGGGTTTAAAGGTATGTTGAATGTTTAGGAAGAATTTCTGGAAGAAATTCGCTCTACTATTTTGCGTCTTTTATAGTCGATATTTCATTGATTGCATTTTGAGTTCTCATTGGACGAATTATTGTCATATGAAGGAAGCAGGTCCATTTTTTGAATTGAACCCCATAACGCTTTTTCGAATCTTCAACTGGTTCGCTGATTTTTTACGGCAAATTTTTAAAGGTCCTTACGAAGTTTGTCGGAAGAATGTACTATTATTTTGAAATTCGATTCCATCGAAAAATTTTAGATTTTTCCCGATTTTAGAATTTGCATATCTTATTCTCTTCTGAAATGATATTATTCGTATTACCCAATAAATACATAAAATCTATAAATAATAATTTAATCCGTTGTCGCTTTATACTACCAAAAAAAAAACTACAAATCACATTAGATTTCGAAAAAAAAAAAAAAAAAAAAAAACAAAAAAAAAACTCTACAAATGTACATTTGAAAATAGTAAGTCAAAATGGAAAAAATATGCAATATGAAACATTTCTATTGTATATTCTAAAAGTAAAAATGAAAATGTTCAAATTTCACTTTTTTTACGCGATTTTTTTGGATTTTATTCTTTTCTGCCAGGAGGCAATTCCGAATTTGTCTAAATCGTTAAAATCAGACCGGCGGTATTTATGTTATAAGAGTAGTAACTAACACAACTTTCTTTTACATATAGAGAGATAGATTTAAAAGTATATATATATATATATATATATATATATATATATATATATATATATATATATATATATATATATATATATATATATATATATATATATATATACACATGGACCGACGAAAATGCATAAATCGATTCAGAATGTGATTCTTTGCGGATAATCAAAAGGAACTATGGAAAAGGAACTACCCCGCCCCCTTCTCCATATTACAAACAAATGCACAAAGACATAATACCTTGACCACAGTGTGTTGTAGGTTATAATAATTACATCATTTCTTATTAAGCTTTCTGCTTTAAATACTTTATTATTATATAAAAACAGAATGGTTGAATTTGGCTCATCTTTTTTAGTTCGCAAATATATGTGTTTAATACTTCAGACATAATAAACACATTGGATGAAAACGTGCAGATCTTTAATGCATCTCTGCCTAAGCTTTTGAATATGCATTAAAATACCATTTAAATGTAAAATAAATCAAATGTTTTTAGGTCAGCATAGGGCAAAACGCAGCTAAAAAGAAAATACTGAAGAAAGATTATATTTGGATGTTATATTTGAGCTTATTTTGGACATTTTAAGTAACGGACGAAATATATGAAATCCGGAGACAAGTTTATGATAAAATCGTTTCCAAATCTTCCGCCTGTTAATCGGTCATGATAATAATGTAATCATCAATGAAACAAATTGTTTTCAATTTTATGATAAATGCTGGAAACAAATTGCGATTTTTTGTCCAGACTTTTGGGCCAGCAGTCTCTGAGAATCCCAAAGCACCATAACATGTCTTGGGTTCCAATTGAAGAAGAAAGAAGAGAAGAAAGTGGATCGTGTATATGTGTTTGCCAATTTGAAAATATCATAATTTTTTATTGTTTATTTATTTACTCCTGTTCTTTTAATTACATATTAACGTTCAACATATAGTGGAAAATTGTTGGTTGTTCGATATAAGTTTAGTGTGTGGCCGTGACCATTTCATTTGTTATAATATTACAATATATACAAAAATGTGATTCTTTTTTTTATATATTCTTACTTATTTCAGATGTATTATTCTGTTTTTGTTATTTGTGTTAAAAAATATCTGTTTGCTTACATTTACTTCATTTTCTCACATTTTTATTTTTATTTATAATTATTGTTATTTTTTTTGCATTTCTTGTGTATTTTTATAAGTATTATATAATTATTTTTATTTATAATTATTGTTTTTTTTTTTTTTGCATTTCTTGTGTATTTTTATAAGTATTATATAAATTTGTAAAAACTATGCAACTTAATTACGAGGGGGTACAAATGAAACGTGCATGTATTTTGGTTTTAATTATGATCAGCTAAAACAGGACATAGAGGTCTGATATGGTCAAACAAAGACTTACAAAATAAATTGAACTTAAAGTATAATTGATAAATGTATGGCAAAACTGAATTCATTTCATTTTACGGAAGTCTGTAAAAACTGTTTTTTTTTAATTACTGATTAGTTTCTCTCTAGCTGGATTCAATAAATGTTGACAAATTTGCGGTGATGTTTGAAAGTCTGGTTGAATGTTGATGATTCTTGTTGTGACTGTGGAAGTTATATTATGACAAGACGATTTGAGAAGTTTAATTTCAAGTCAGTACACTTCTTAGATGTTCTTCGTACTCCTCAGCCGTGTAAAATTCTTGATCGCTGGAAATATAAAAAAGGCACAAAATATTAAAATAGTTTTATTTTTGTAAATAACGGTTGGTTGCTGAAATATTTAATATTTTAAAATAGCACTACAAAAAGTTATATTTGTCTCTATCTGAATAAAATACAGCTTACAATATTTATATTACTCCCCAGCAACAATATTATATATTTTTGAAAACGTACAATTCAAAAAAAAAAAAAAATATGACAATAATTGAAAAAATGTAACAAAAAATTTCAACTTTTCTGTTGGCAGATTTTTACGCGTTTTGCTTAGATTTTACCCTTTTTCTGGCAGGAGCCCATTTCAAATTAGTGAAAATTGTCCAAATCCATCCAGCGGTTCTTGACTTATAAGCGGAATAACTAACATCAATTTCATTTACATATAGATTGTTCCTATTTCGCTACATATCCGATATGTTGGCTATCAGCATCACTGTAATGGTCAGTAGTGACCTTCTAATAAATTTTCCATTTGGCCGGGACTAAAAATATTCGCGGTTTTGTGGAAATTGTCGTAGTTTTTGACATAAAAGTTATGAGTTATAATACCCGTTAAATATTGTCCGATGACAGTCAAAATTGGTAGGCTTCTGCCCAGCCAAAAACTCTAACTCCATGTCATCATCACGCTGTCTTCCAAATTAATTGAGATAGATTACTGAAATTTGATGCACACGTATTTTGGCCTCAAACTTAGACAAGTTCGAAGATTGTCTATATCGGCCAAGGTTTTCGTATAGCCACCATATAGCGGTATCCTCTCATTTTTCAAATGAATTGTCTGGAATTTTAGTATTTGAAGGTTGTTTGGTCCACATTGTGGTATATATCCCATATAATGACTTATGATATTCAGTATTCCCATGGTTTTCCCCAATTTTTTCAAAGAAATTGTCTGAAATTGTGTGTTTTATTCAGTATTCCCATGGGAATATTCAGTATTCCCATGGTTTTCCCCAATTTTTTCAAAGAAATTGTCTGAAATTGTGTGTTTGCAGTTTCGAATGGGTGTTTAACTGCCTTACAAAAAATTGTTTTATTGTTTTTGACAAAAATTCGGCAGGCCTGTTTTTACCAGGCAATATACTGCCAACATAGACCCCAAAAATATACAATTACAGCTGATTAGGTAAAAAATTAGGGCCAAATCTTTTAAAATTACCAAAATCAGGAGACTAATTCAAAAAGTGCACCTACATTGAGTATTATTTGCTAGGAGTTAAACTATTGAGAACCCGAAAAAGGGGTGATTTTTAAGGGCTACCTAAAAGTTCCAAAAAATAAACACAAATAATTTAAAAATCAATGCATTAAATTAAATGATAGAACTGATGCGGGCTCGTTGGTATAGACATGAGCCCATACAAAAAGAGTCCCATAGCCCCCCAAAAATAGTCTAAAGGAGTTAAATCGCACGAGCTATGCGGCCAATTGTTAGGTACCGATTGTAAAATAAATTGTTCATCGAACCTTACAAAATCCATTGCTTAGCATCATGGTGTGGCACCAACTTGTTTAAACTACATGTTGATATAGTAGAACTCAAGTAGTTAAATTTTTTTAGTTGAAGTTTGAAATAAACCAAAAATTCATTTTTTTACTTTCAATGCAAAAAACTACTTTACTTTTAGTCCTTCCAATAACAGCGTCAATTAAGCGCCTCTAGGAAACAGACTGTATTTATACGTACGTACAATCACATTTCGTTTTGTCCAATATACATTCATAGGTATTACTTGTCAGTATCATAAGTAATACTTGTCATAGTTTGTGTTGTCATAACTGCATGTTGCCACACACACTCATGTACATTATTACCATTTTCGGTAATGAAAGGATCTCATACATTACATATTCAATAAACCAAATAAATATACTGAGTTGTAGTTAACACTACATGTCACACATGTTATAGCAAAATGCTAATAATACTAAATTCGAAATGTGTGGACCAATCAGTTCTTCATTGCACTCTTTTCCTAACCTATTCTTTTTATAACAAAAGTTTTGTTTTGGTAAATTGGTTATTATTTTCTGTTTATTAGATCATGTGTAAACACAAGTAATATTCTTCGTTTCATATATCTGACGAATTTTCTTTTTTTTTTAAATTCTCTTTATGGCCACACTTTCCCTATATGTTTACCCTGCACCACACAGTGCTATAGGGTGTTTGTGCATTTGTGGTACAATTCAAAAGGGAAGGATATACCGTTCCTTTCATTCCTCTGATGGTGTTTATAAAATCCTATATCTGATGTAAATATTTCGATATGCCAAGATTGAAGAAAAATAGAAATATAAAATATAATATTCCCTTCGTTTCCCACAAGATATAGAATTTTTAAAACTCCATCAAAAGAATGAAAGAAGGTATATTAACGGAATGACAAACTGCTTGCAAACACCTCGAAATAATCGTCGGAGATCAAATTAAAATTCCTAGACCATTTAACGGTGACCACCCGCCCATCTGTTCAAAATCAAGGTAGATGTCATAATATACATAATTTTTGACAGAGATGTCACATCACTTAATGTCATACCGCGTTTGAAGCGTCAGTTCAAGCAGATTTTTACCATGCGAGCGCTCTGAAATAGTTGAAATTTACATTCAACAGAAGAAGTCAATTGTGAAAAGAAAAAAAAGGCAAAGAATGTTGCCTGCGGACAAGCCTCGTCGATTGGAATGGGCCTCCGTCGAATATGGGCAACCCTGTATAAGAATTTGAATTTGAAATCAGCTGTTTTTTATTATTTTAGATTATCATTTGGTGTGTATATGTCTATAGGTCCAGTAATTTGTACAGCCCCCATTTAAAGGTACCACCAGACTTAAATTATTTCAAAGGTAACAGACGCCTCCTTTACCAAATTTATTGTAATTTTGTATTTCAGAGGTTACAAATTGTCCCCGTCAAAAATGTTCAATTTGGGTCCATTAGTTGGTATATCAAGCATATTGCAGTACCCTTCCTATATTCGATATTTCGAGGTTTCAACGACAAATTGACCGAAATTTCTGACGGTTTGTGGGGGAAGTACTGAAGGAGTGATCATACCCTTTACCCGATCTATGTTACATAAAACAAGTTAAAAAGTATCGTATGGTTTTTCCGCCAGATGTATACCATCAACCAATGTTCGTTTATTTAAATATTATTTTAACTGCTGATCCTTTATGGGGAAGGTTCTGAAAGACTGAGCCAATATTGTACACTTCATAGCTGACAAAAGTCTGATATAAATATTATAACGTTCCAGATCCGAACTATATCGACTACTTCCTTCATTTTATATATGTGATGATGTTTGAAAGATGTTGAAATATACGTGAGATAGCAGATATAACAGATCGATGTATTCCACTTCAACAAATGCTGATAAAGTATTCGGATGTGCAAAATTTGAAGAAAGTTGTATATTTATTTTAAATTGTATGTGAATAATTTTAACTTAACCTTCTGTGAAGGAGGCACTAGAAGAAGCGGGCCGATAAATTTGGTATTCACATCATAACTGTGATTGAATGTAAAATGTGTAAGAGTTATTCTTATTCAAAACTTTGATCTTACGTGGGGAGGTATAAGGAATTTGCAAAGTTTTTTTTTTTTTTTTTTTTTTTTGAAAATTTTGACTTTTGTGGAAGAGGACTGAATCGATATTGCCCATCTTCTAACTAATCTAAGTTTGACAATAATATTACGAAATATCAATTTGGGATCAAATCGGATACTGCCTTCCAGAGTTATCATGTGCACCTACCAACCAGAGAGACGGACGGACACCTCCAGATCGCCTCCAAATGTTCAGAAACGGATTTGGTCCAAAGAGACGTTTTGGTCGTATGAAATGAAATATATCCTCTGTTGCCACATGGCTGAGTGTATCCATACCATTGTACGAGTGAACACGCTTCAAATCGACCGATTTGAAAAACCACAGATGTCCACTATTGAAGCGGTGTTTGGTATATCTGCTGAGAAATGTGGCTAAAATTGAAAAATGAGGCATGGAAATATCGAACCTGTACAAAAAGTGGTACTTATTCCAAAAGTAGATTAAAATAGAAAACTATGTGCCACATTATGTGGGGTCGTTTACGAACTGCAAATATTAACTTTAAGAAAATTCCCATGAACAATGTATCTAATATCATCCAAATACCGAAAATCGGTATATTGTATAATTTCGATATATACAGTATTCTACAAAGAGGTTTTTTGTCCGCTGGGAACGCAAACTACCGATGCTTTCAAATTACTAACATTTTTGACATAAAAAATACTTGTTACAGGTAGACAAATTGCTAAATATGCATGGGGCGTATGTTTTCATGCTTTTTCCCGGTGTTTCTCTTTTATTCATCATTGCAATTAATGAAATGAAAAATAATTAACTTCTTTGGCTTTTAAAATTATTTTATGAAGACTTTGGGTCAACAAATAATAATTTGACAGTCATCAGTGACATCAGTCCAAATCTTCGATTCGTTAAATTTGACTAATTGCAATACTTTTATGTTAACATACAAATATGTATGCACTACATATATGCAATGCGTATTCGAACATTTGTCCACTCCGAATCAAGTGTCATGCCATCATTAGACGATTACCCTTCAAATCCCTCTCAAAAATTTGCATTTCGTCCTTTGCAAAAGTGGTGAATTATAATTACAACTTTGTGAATGCCAATTGTGGTAATTGATAACCCATAGCTTTAGGTATCTCATACTGACCCAGAGTTATGACAATTAGTAAAACTTTACTTTTAAACGTTAGATGACAAAATCGATACTCATATCCACATCGATTAGATTGGAATACACTTTCGCCGAATTCTACATAGCCATGCTCGTTTGCAAATTCACCTCTTTACCAATATCCCCAAAGTAATACACATCCCTAGTAAAACGTTGTAATTCGAATGTGACATTTTATGTCACTAATTCCCAGGACATGTGTGCCGAAGTGCGTTTATGTTGACACACAAAATGAATGGAAAGTTGAATCCTTGCACTGTGCATTAAGGATAATAAAGAAAACTTGATGTGTACACCTTCGCTTTATATCTATAAAAGAGGAAAATGTTTGTATATTTGATTGTTTGTTTGTCAGTAGTTTATGGTCTCGAAAATCACTGAACAGATTTTCCTGAAACTTTCCAAAAATACTGCAACATCGCCTAAAAGTAACATAGGCTATATAAATTTTTATAATTTTTATGCCCTTTGTCATTCCATTTGTAACTCCTCGAAATATTTATAATAGACCCTACAAAGTAATATATTCTGGATCAACGTAAAATTCTAAGACGAACGAATTGAGATAGAATGCTAAAATTTTGCATACATGCATAGCTTACCAGTAAGCAGGTTAAGTTAGTAAATGGGATATGTCGGTCAACGTCTTCGTATAGCCCCCATATAACGGTACCTCATGATTTTAGCGATAGTATTTACCGGGATTATTTCAAATTTCATATTTAAAGTTCGTAATGGGTTCTACAGTCTATGACAAACATTTTTGTATAACGGCAGCTCCCGATATTCGGTATTTTGATGATTTCAGCAACATTACTCACCGGAATCGTTTCAAATGTCATATTGGGAGATCTTAATGGTTACTACAACCTACGGAAAAACATTTTGTATGCAGGTCTACGTCTTCGTATAGCCACTATATAACTGTACCTCCCAAAATTCGGTATTTTCATGATTTTAGCGACATAATTTACCGGAAATTTTGTATTTGAAGTTCGTAATGGGTGCTACAGCCTACGACAAAAATATTTGTATGCAGGTCCACGCCTTCGTATAGCCCCTATACAAAGGCACCTTCTGATAATCGATATTTTGATGATTTTAGCGACATTGTTCACCGGAATTGTTTCAAAATTTGGTTTTTGAAGATCGTAATGGATACTACAGCCTTTGACAGAAAATTTGATGTGCAGGTCCACGTCTTCGTATAGCCTCCATATAACGGTACCTCCTGATATTCGGTATTTTGATGACTTTAGCGACATTATTCACCGGAATTGTTTCAAATTTGGTATTTTAAGTTCGTAACGGATACTACAGCCTATAACAAGATATTGTCTGAACAGGTCCACGTTTTGGCATAGACCCCTATATTACAGTACCTCTCTATATTCGGTATTTTTATGATTTTAGCTACATTATTCAACGATTTTTTTTAAGTTTCGCATTTGAATATTGTAATGGCTCATGACAAATGTTGCCTATGCAAGTCGACGTCGTCGTATAGATCCTAATATAACGGCTACATTCGAATTCGGATTCGGATTTTATTTTTTATTATTATTATTATTTTTTTTTTTTTGAAAATTGCCAATTTCGTTCCAAATGGTGGAGTGAAAAGGAAAGCCAGATAGACACTATCACACACTCACCACTATGCGACGCGTTTCGCCGTTGGTTAAGCGGCTCATCAGGCATATTTGGTGTGGGATGATGGCTTACAAGGGCCGTTCTCTGGAAAGTAGTATATATTTCGAACTTATTGCAAATTAGCATATGCGAATTATACACTAGAAACTCTCCAGGTTCGACTCAAGTTCTATTGGCAGATCTTTTTTCACAGCAAAGTTTTGTTTTTGTAGTGATGGATTTTTTGTCCACAACAACTACATTGCTTCCAATGCATACACTTGTTTTAGAAGATCTGCCAATAGAACTTGAGTCGAACCTGGAGAGTTTCTAGTGTTTAATTCGCATATGCTAATTTGCAATAAGTTCGAAATATATACTACTTTCCAGAGAACGGCCCTTGTAAGCCATCATCCCACACCAAATATGCCTGATGAGCCGCTTAACCAACGGCGAAACGCGTCGCATAGTGGTGAGTGTGTGATAGTGTCTATCTGGCTTTCCTTTTCACTGCAAATTTCAGATCATTAAGCTCGTCTCGAAAGAGAAAAAACAAACGCATAAATCATAAAACATATGATCTTCGCCTTAACAAGGCAAAACTCAAAGCTTTTTTATTGTTTTTTTCTTCTATTTAGTCGAGACACTCATTGGGTAGTGAGAAATATACAGATGACTTTATATAGCTTCTATGGGAATACATGTTATTCACATGATTAAATCTAAATTCTTTTTAACAAATATCATTTTTAGAAAAAAACATATTACACCAAATACTGTAATATGTTTAGTAAAAGTCACTGTCACTGTACTGGGGTACATTAGTTCATTCATGCGTATGGTGTGTCGCTTAACAGTCCATTTTGTGAACATTTTCATTAACTTACCTGTCACTCAAATCTCGTTTTTTCCGTCGATCCTGCGAAAGTGCTTCTACACAAAGTACTATTAATTTGCTATCGCACGTTAGTCGCTCCTGATCCAATAATTTGTTTCCCAACAAATTGCTGGCATAGCCAATTTTGTCTCTTGCTCCACTATGCCAGGCATCACAATATGTGTCAATCGAACGTTCGCCATTGGGTAAAGCGCCATGCCAGACATGTTTTTGTGGCCTACAAAAAAATGTTGGACGAAAAACAATGTGAAATATTAAAAAATTGAAATATGGACAAAAAAACCAAAAGTTGTTCAAACAAATATTGCTGGTTTATTTGTATAAGATACAGTTGAATGTGGTATGGAATGCATTGCGTTTATTTATGAAATTTTATATATTCATAATGGCTGGCTGTTTGGGTGTCTAACAGCAAAAAATTAAATAAATTTGACACTTGTTTTGTTTTTTTGGTTTCATTTTTGTTGGCATTGGTATTTAAAATATATTTATTTAGGAATATGATGTGCACAATACATCTCTACACACGCACACATATGTGTTCAAATAATGTTGGCCTAATAACATTTGAAAATATTATTTATTTACTCGAATTCACTTTTGAGGTTATTCTGTTATTCAAACTGTGGCCAAATAAAGTATGGACGAGTTGAAATTCACATAAACGCCTTTAAATTATATACATATGCGTTTAAGTGTCTACGAAAGTGACATTTAATTCATTAGCAGTATCTTAAGATTTGTCTAGAAAAGTTTCGTTTTCACAATTTATTGTTGATGTGACTTTAGCAAAAGTCAACCACCTATGAGCCGCATAATATGATAGGCAAAAACTGCAAAATTTTAAAATCATATAAATATGTTGTGTGTGGTAGGTATGTATGGCTTTTGTGGCTTAAACATCACCAAAGTTATTTAAGCAAAATATAGTTTTTAACACAAGTTTAATAATGGATAAAATTGGGCACAGTACAAAAATGTTTTCAAATATTAATGAGTTATGTCAACGAATTTCCATTAAGGGATTTAATTTTATATACATGTTTAATTTTGGAGAAGGTTACATTTGTATTCTCTATATAAATAAATCGTGAAGAAAAAGTCAAAAGTCGGGCGGGGAAGACTATATGATGACCTATACCACTATGCGTATATAGTAGAGCTCTCGTAACAAAAGAAATATTTCAAGTAGATCATACCACCTATCAACATTTGGTTTTAGATCAGTTATAGTTTGCTATAGAGTGCATGACATCACTTGCAGAAGGATTATATTAAAAAATATATATATCGGAGCCGAGTTACACAAAATGGAAATGTACATCCCGTCCTGTTATGGCGGCCCATGGCCGGCTCTGCGGTATTTGGGCCCATTCACGGCGAAGCGGTTGCTTGAGGTGATCGACACTTTGGTATTTTTTAGTGCCAACCTGGCTTTCCAAAATACTCCAGACACAATAGTCCAATGGATTGGTATCCGGAGATTTTGGTGGTCATTGTGCGCTGGAAATGAAGCGAAGAACCTCATTTTGTAACCATTTTTGGGTGGAGCGTGTTGAGTGCGATGGCCCTGAGTCCTGTTGGAATGCCCAAGGTCTGCGGCCAAAATGTTTGCGTGCCCAATGCTTTAACACACCCTCCAGAATATTTCGCCATAATATTCGGCATTTATTCTGCTGCCATCGCGGCCCACATCATCATCATGGCCGGCGTTTGAGTGCTGGAGGCCAACCGAAAGAATTTCAATGGTTTTACCCAGAGTTCATTTTTCAATATTTGCCGAATGGAATAGTGCGATATGTTCAGCTCACGAGCCATTTTTCGCCCACTACGACGCGAGTTTCGATCAAGTCGCTTCTTTACTTTTCGAACCATTTCTGCTGATATTGCTGTTATCTTCCGTCCACTCCCTTAAAGTCGGGCTACGCTACCAGTATCACGGTAACGAGCGATTGTACGACACACAAACGACTTATTCACATTTAAATGATGGAGTGCTCTAACGATTGCCACTTGTGGTTTTCCAGAAATCACACTATAACGCTTTAATTCCATCACAAATAACTTTTTTTCTGAAAAATTCTCACCAAAATGCTTTTGTACGCTTGTAAACAATATAATGAGCTGTCACTGGAATAATTTTAAAAGCTGTCGGACGAGTGGCTTATAAATGACAGCAGTCTGAAGTTGCTTGCAGTTTTTTCATCTCACCCTGTATATGGGACCTATAACTATATCTGAACCGATTTTAATGCACTTGCTTCTTGAATGAATTCGTTCGGATAAGCCGAATATTAGATTATTTGGACTGATAATGGCTTTTTGGTGCACAATTAACCCGATATCGGTTGAGAATATGTATGGGAGCTATATCCAAATATAAACCGATCTTGACAAAATTGGTACACATATTTCAGAGCTGTAGCTGATATCTGGTACCAAAGATTATTGTTGGGGAATGCATATATATATATATATATATATATATATATATATATATATATATATGTATATATATATATATATATATTTGTGTGTGTGTGTGTTTTATCTGATTTAGGGTTTATATATATATATATATATATATATATGGCCTGTATTTGGGGTTTTAAGTCCGATATATATATATATATATATATACTTCAAACCCCAAATACAGGCCATTTTGACTTATGTTACCTACTTGGTCCACAATATATGAGAGCTATATCTAAATCTGATCCGATTATCAATTTCAATAGGGTTCGTCCTTAGGGCCTAATAAATATTGTTTGTAAAATTTTATCTCAGTCGGGTAATAAATGCGACCTGCATGTTGTTCACAGGAATACAGAAGATCATCAAAAGTAACTATGGGTCAATCTCGCTTCCATCTATATGTTACAAACAAATGCGCAAAGACATAATACCCTTACACCTATGTGGTGTACAAGAAATGTAGGTAATTTTGTTAATTTCGACTTATATGTACTAAATTAGGTACAATTTGGATTTTGGGTGAACCAATAGAGCTGGAATCCTGAAAATTGAGAATAAGATTACTGTCGGAGTGTAAGATTGGGATTTGTAAGTTGTTTATATACGAAGGTGTGCTAAGTATGCGGACTGTACTAAATTGTACTAAATTTGTAACAGTTTTGTTAATGGTGAACGGATTAAGTTGAAATTCTGAAATTTTGTATTGGAGTCCCTCTTGGTGGTAGGTTTGTATAAAGAGGTGGTTTAGAAAATGTCTACTACCCGTGTACGAGATATTACTATATTTGATATAATTTGGTTTTCTGTGAACAGATAGTGCTTGAAATCTGGAATTTGGTATTAAGCTTTTGTAAATGTGTACTATAATTGTACGAAAAGTACTGAATTGTACTATATTTGGTACAGAGTAAAGGGATAGAGATAAAATTACGAAGTTTGACATTTAGATTACTGATAGTGTAAATTTGCCGCAATTCCAGCTATCAATAATAAGTTGAGGAAATTATGTTATGATGTATTCACATTCCTGATATTGTGACGATGTCTATAATATTTCTGTTCACAATACACAACTACTTTCTGACACGTTTATTTGTATATCGCTTCCTACGGATATTGATGACTCGAATTGGAATGAATAAATTGGAATTTTAATTGCTTCACACCATTGTGGTTTCTATACGGTTTGACCTTTTAAAACTGCTTATAATTCCTTCGAATTTTCATAACAATAAACAGAAAGGAAGCAATGTCTGGTAGGAGCGAAAGTATGATACCCTACAAAGTCTTGTTAACAAATCTAATTTCGAATTGGGCACAAATGTATGGGCAAGCAGTCGAATTAAAAATAAGTCGTAATACCCTATACAATGTGACAAAGGGTAATTATGCCCACATGTAAGTGTGTGTCTCGTCATAAATACAAATGTATATTTGGAAGTTCTGAACCAAGCAATATTCAATACCTATTGACCCGCACAATGTGGCATTTAAAAGTAGCTGTCTTTATGTCAATGTCCAGTTGTTTGTAAACATTAAGAAGGTGGCTTCATAATGAAAAGATTATTTCCTATCATTGTTTGTTGTTATAATGCCATATTTCGGTATCCCTTATGTACAACAAATTCTCATACTCTTTTCGTACTTAGTTCCAGTTTTATACCCTCCATCATAGCATGGAGATTATATTAAGTTTATCATTCCACTTGTAAGTGCTCGAAATATAAATTTTTTTGTCGACTTAGTCATGTTCGATTTAGCCATGTATATTAAGTTAGTCATTCCATTTGTAACTCATCGAAATAATGATTTTAGATCTTACAAAGTATACATATTCTTGATCGGGCTCTTTCCGTCCGTCTGTCTGCAAAAATCACGTCAGAGTGGAAAAAAAATTATGAAACAAAACATTTGGCATAGGGCAGGGTTTGGCCTGTAGGCATTTCAAGTTCGAAAATGGGATGTATTGTTCCACGATATAGTATAGTCCCATATGACGGTACCTCCTGATATTCCATATTTTGATGAATGTAGACACGTTTTTAAATGGAATTGTTTGAAATTCTGCATATGAAGTTCATGTCAGATACTTTACTCCCTGAATGAGAATGGTCTATATAGGTCCACGATATCGTATAGCCGCCATATAACTGCAACTCCCGAAATTCGGTATTTTTAAGATTTTAGCCAAATTTTTCAATGGATTTTCAACGTAATTTTCGCACGGATTATCATCTACCAAATCTTCCACCAGAGCTTGAACCCAAATACCAATTTTTGGACAAATCCGTGGAAAAATGTGGCAAAAATCATCAAAACACCGAATATCGGGGGTACCATTATGTGTGGTCATACGAAAACGTGAACCTATACATACTGTATTCCACCACATGATCTAGAACCCATTTCGAACTGAAAATGCCAATTTCTGGACAAATTCGGGGAAAAATGTGTGCAAAAATCATCAAAACACCGAACATCAGAAGGTACCGCTATACCAAAACGAGGACCGATATATCTCATCCTAAGTACAATACGAATTGTTCTACCAAATTTTTAAGCTTCACATCAAATAATGTAGGCTGTGTCGTGATTTCAACCGACAGACAGCCAGACGGACATAGTTAAATTGACTTTATTTTTATTGAATTTTATGCTGATCATGAATATATATAATTTATGGGATGTACGTCGTATGGGGTATACGTTGAGGTGTTACAAACGAAATAAAAACAAAAA